CATACATAATATTTAAAAACAAAACAATATTATATATGAAAGCAAACAAATTCAGACCTTAAAAAATTATAATAAATAAATTAGAATAGAAATTGATTAAAAATTGAACAAACATATTTTATTAATATTATACATATTATATATAACTAATAATTTAAACAATATTTCTCAATAGGTACCAACAAATTTTGATCAAGAACTCACTGCATGGGGTATGGAATGCTTCTATATGACAATGTTCAACAAGCATTTCGGTTTTCTTGATTCTACCTCAAAATCAGCTTCCGAAGCCACAAAAATTATTAATGCATTAATCACTGCCCACACATATATGAGTCGCTGCGAAACTGGATTTCAAGTGTGGAGATTCTTCGAAACTCCATTTGTCAAAAAGCTTTATGAAGCTTGCGATGCTCTTGATGAGTAAGTCAACGAAGTTGATTTCAAGTTTAGTATCTTTAACGAAGCTTTTATCTTAATTGTATGCTTTTGTTTATATAATAAGTGTATGTGTGTACAATTATAATTTTAATATATTATTAAGTTTTTATTTATATATTTATATATACACTATTTATTATTCATTTAATATAATATATTATTTATTTGATTACGTCAATATAATAATTTATTTTAATTTTAATATTTAATTTTGCTAATTTCTTAAATGGTATTTACATTACTTACGATTTTTACTCTAGAGTTATTGGAAAATACATTCGTCAAACTCAGAATAAACTGCAAACTTTATCACTGTCAAAACAAGAAGAATCTATGAATAAAGAGAGAAATTTACCATTACTGGAAAAAATGATGATTCAGCGTATTCATCCAAATGACATTTCTATTCTTTTGATGGACATGCTTATTCTAGGCGTTCAAGCTGTAATATGCAATAATTTGATAATTGTAATAAAAATGTAAATTATTTCGAATTTTCAGGTCATTAATTGCGAGGCGTTTCTACTTTATTTCCTAGCAAAAAATCCTCGAATACAAAAACGGTTGTACAATGAAATAATGACTGTTTTGTCTAAAACCGATGGTACTTTAACAAAAGAAAGTTTGACGGATATGCCATATCTAAAAGCATGCATAAAAGAGAGTCTTAGGTAACAGAAAGTAAAATATGAAAGTAAAATAACTGTTTTAACACATTTGTATTAATTAAATTTTTTTATTTTAAATTTTAAATAATTATTTTATATAATTAAACTATTTTATAAAAAATAGCAATAAAAAATTAAGTGTACCAACATATTATTGTATGTAACATTTTTTTAAAAAGATTACGACCAGCTTTTCCCTATTTAACGAGATTATTGCCATCAGAAATTTCGTTACATGGATATACAATACCAAAGGGAGTAAGTTTTATACGTTAATTCAAATCTAAACATAATGTATGTTATATAAATGATACAATGAATAATTTTAATTTTCTAGACTTTTGTCATAATGGCAAATCAAATAACATCACAACGTGAAGAACATTTTGAAGATCCTAAGAAATATCAACCAGAAAGATGGTTGAATCAGGATGAATATGCGCATAATGATTATCAAGAGTATTCATGTCTACCCTTTGGTTATGGTATACGATCCTGTCTGGGAAAAAAAATGGCAGAAACACAAATGATGTTACTCACTGCAAAAGTAAATGAGTTGTATACATAATATAGCGCAAATATAATGTAAAATTAATATATTTTATTTTTATAGTTGGTACAAGAATTCACAATCGAGTATGATTATGCTGAAATTCGAAGTAGATTTCTTATGATAAATGTACCAAATAGATCACTACGTTTTCGTTTCGTAGATAAAAATTAAAAAATAAAAAATATGCAAAATAATTTTAAAAATCTGAAAAATAGAATAATTACTATTGTAGACATAAAGAAGTATCTTTATTAAGATCATATAATAAGTATTATTATTACAGTAAGATTATCTTTCTGTAAAAAAGCTGTATAAAGAAGAAAAGAAGTTGTTAATCGTTTGCTTTATATCAAATTATATATTATTTATTTATTTTATTAACAAAGTAACTAGAAGTTATAATAAATATATATTTATGTTTGTATTCAATACGCTCTAATTTACTTAAAACATACCAATTATATATTTATAAAAATATAATTTGGACTAATTAATGTTAGAAATTACGATATTAATCGTTATAAATAAAATCAATAATTTCTATAGTTTATAAATATTATATACAGTCTATTGATAATTTAACAGTATATATAATATAATAAGATTTTATATGGATATCTTCAGGATTTTATTATTACTAACAAATATATATTTTTATTATATTATTGTTGCAATTCTATATAGCAAACATTTAAAAAAAATGTAATGTGTGGACTTTTACCTTAAAAAACGGATTTTTTAATCTTAAAAACCGGATTGTTTATTTACTCTTGACCTATCATAATACGCACAAATGCCATATATGAAAAAATTGTCGAGATGTACTGAAAAATAACAAATTCTTAAATGCAAAATAATAAATAAATCTAAAAAAAGATAAATACAAGAATCTGATAAATGAAAAGTAGTATAGAAAACGGATACAAGTTCTTACCGATGCGTAATAGTTCATGGACAAGTTTGGTAATGCACATGGAATTGAAATGGTGACTGGACGCTGACTTCTTAATATGACATGTATTAAAATTTTCTGCATGGCCAGATTATTATCGTACCATAATGAATCATAAACTGCAGACGCTACACCGCTACTCTAATAAAAATTTTTGAAAAATAAATTTTAAAAAATTGCATTATCCTTATTATAATGTAATTATATATTTTATTTTATCTATAAATAACTAACCGTACTTATTACATTGTCAGCTGGCCAGGCATACATATAGAGTTCCACAAAACCACAAAAAGCTATCATAAGAAACGTCCATTTCACTGTCCATGGTTGATGCTGTTACGCGTAAATATCAAAAAATATATATATATACATACAATATATACATATATAAAAAAAATATATATATATATACATATAATATATACATATAATATATATATATATATATATATACTGTGTAATGTATTACATTAAGTGTGAAACAGATAGTTTAGTAAATTCAATTCGCTTTTCATAAGCAATAAATGAGAAAATCATATAACATATCATGAAACAAAATTTTTTTTTTAAAGAACACTTTTACACGAAGCACGGTACTTACACTACTACTTACACTCATAAAAGTAAGATAACCAAATATTACAGCACCAGTACTAAAAGTCACGCATAATAATGCTATGTAACGAATTGCATGAGATACTTCTTTTGCATATCTATAAATATTCGATTTTAAAAAACATAACTTACTGCATTTAATTTTTTTTCTTTTTTTTTTCAAATTATATACCTATTATATTATATACCTAAGTAATAGACTATGTTTACGTGTATAGTTTACCAGCTCTTTCATACTCGTCATTGTACGAAACTGAACAGATAGAATTTCAAATCTAGCGGCTACAAACCAAAGTAGAAGAGCAGGAAAGGTATTGGTGCTAACTTGGATTACACTTTGATAAGCAATTAATATTTGATGAACATAAATAATTGTTTTCATTGGTTGAAGTTGCACATCGAATGGATACTCTGTTTCACATGGAAACAATTGTGATGAAAATAAAGGCGTGAGTATAACACTAATGCCTGTCATTGCTAACCAACAAAGAATACTACCTACAGCAATCAAGTTATTATTAAGTTTCTTTAAACAATTAAAACTAATACTGTACATACCATAAAATAGTTTGCATTTGTCGATGTATTGTTGGAAAATTTTTTTTTCATATTCTTGCGCTCGCTGATAACAAGCCTCCATTTCCAAAATAATAAACTGTGTTATTAAAATTTGTATTAATAGTTCTTTCATAATTTTATAAATACAAAATATTAATAATATATATTCTTAATTAATAAATTGCCAATTTTATATGTATACACATATAGTAATAATAGTTAAATAACAAAATTTTAAAGAACAGCCTAAAAAATATATAATACTTATATATGAGAAAAAGTTCGTGGCGTTTTTCTCGTTAGATAGCATTTAAAAAACGCCACGAACTTTTTCCCATCCCTAATATTTCTGTTTAAAGAATATATTTAATTTATAAAACAAATAATTTAACAATAAGAGGTGTTAAAGAGTTTACAAGTTATCATGATTGCTAATGCCAACGTTTCCAACTATATACCTTGTGCCGTTTACTTCATCAAGGCCAGAGAGAGTAGTAGAAGTCACATTTGCATCCTTGCACTATGATCAGGGCGAAGATTGATATTGAGCAAGATTTATGAAACATTAGCAATGAATCATGACGCGGCGATAACTCATAAATCTTTTGGCACCTCTAAAGAAAACACCCGTGAAAGTCTCAAAAATATTAAGTAATTGAATCATTAGACAAAATATTTTATTTCATGATTTATTTTATAAATATAAACAGTTCCTATAAATCTGAGCAGAGTATACGACGGATTTTGTTAAGTTACAAAACAGTTTTTTCATCAAACTAATATGAATAAAAATGAAAAATTGTATACCTGCAAACGTTTCTTTTGCATCGCAAAGAGGATCAACTGTAATGGAACTTGTATGATAGCGCTCAACTGACATCCTAATTTCATCACCAGAAACATATCGTCGCTGTGATTACAGAGTGTCCATACCGCCGCGATGGCAATTAGTATCGAATTCGTGACGCAGAAACACTGGAAAGCACTGCGAAGAAGTCTCTGAGACTTCGTTGCGTTCGGTGGAAGAGGCCAACAGCAAGCAAATATCAAGTATATCTTTAGAAAAGCGATTACTCTATCTAGTGTTACCTTTCCCTCCATGTTTAAAATATAACGGAAATTCTAGCTAGTATAGGCATAAGCTGTAATCACCTTTGCAATATTGTCAAGATAATTTGCTAGCAAGTAGATATAATAGCACTATTATGAAGCGCCAAATGATGTATATGCGGTACATACGATATAAGCAGTGTTATATCTTGTCTTTGAAGCAAGGTGCATTGTTTCTCAAGGGTTCTCAATGCGTATAATACATTATGAAAAAATTTTAACATTACATTAATATCGATTACAATTCCATAAATTATGATATAAATTGAATATTCAAATAAATGTCGTTGCATTATATTATAAAAATACATACTGTAAATAAAATTTCTTCTTTTAAAATTTTAATTTTAATAATTTATGCAATTTAATATTTTAATAAATTATATAAATTAAACTTGATTCATATCATAAAATTCGTGGAAGCTATATTGTTCCCCTCTTCTTTAAAGATGTTTATAGAACATAAAGCCTTTGTGGAATAAATTTTGTTATTTTACTTATGCACGTTGAAGATATTTTATTTTAAAAATCTCGAAAAAATTTAAAATATTGATGCTTCTCAGTTATTGTGAATTACTACCTAGAAAGAAAAACAGCTTTTATGAACATCTAATAGGTAATTATAGGTAAGGCCTTGCCTTTGCATTTCCCACTAGATAGCAAGACAAAGACTGTTTAATTAATAATATGCATCGAACGTAATGCTGCCGTGTATTTACACTTTCAGGCATTACACATGTTGCAATCAAATGGTAATTGTCTAGTAATAATTAAATCCATTTCAGTGAAGTATAATTAGCAGTGAAATGAAATTGCATGGTCTCTTATAAGATTGTCTGCAATGTATCGTAATAAAGATAATATAGATGAAATAAAGCAAATTCAGCTAAAAGCACAGTATGTATCTAGAAAGATTTGATATAATTTATTATAATTAATATTTGTATTATTGTCTAATGGTTATAAATTTTATCTATTATCTTTCATGTTTTTATTTTTTAATATTTTCATTTTTAATATTGTTATTAATTTAAATTTTCATATCTTGTAATCAAACTACTATCAACTTTACAGAAAAACTGCAAGAGATAAAAATTGTTTATTTTCTTCTCATAGAGCTCTCATAATATTTGAGTAAAAAATTATTAAAGACCAATTTGCAGCAATTAATATCTTATTAA